CTCTCTAGCAAGGGGGAAAGGCAGGAGGGCGTTGGGGAAGGGATGGAGGCAGGAGGGCCGGGGCAGCTTGTGTCGGGGCAGAGGGAGACGCGGCTCTGTGGCCCCGCTGGCCCCATCGCCCCCAGGGGGTCGGAGCCACCCGCCAAAGGGACCCGGGGGGCTGCAGAGGGGCCTGGCCAGGGATGGCAGCTGGGCTGGAAAGCCTCCCTCCCCCAGGCCATGTCTGCCACCGGGCACCCAAGGGACAAAGGCTGTTTGTCACTCTGCCCAGGTCTCGCTTGGCTGGTGCTGACTTGTCCGGGCCAACCTGGGGGCAGCAAGCGCAACCAGCCAGGGGGTCCTGGCAGCCACCCCCCAAGTCCCCCACGCTGCCACTTTCATACCTTTCTCCTCCTTCGCTGCTTCCTCCTCGCCCCCTTGCCTGCTGCCTGCTGCGGCCTGGGGGGTTCCACCAGCTCCTCCAGGCTGTGGTAGCTCTGGAGGGCATGGTCCTCCGGCTGTGGGCTGGGGTCCGTGTTGGGAGAAGGGCAGGGTCCTGGCTCCTCTGCTGGCTGGTTCTCCTCCCAGCCTTCTGCCAGCACACTCAGCACCTCCTCCTGCTCCTCTTCCTCTTCCTTCTCTCCGACCTCCTCCTCCACCACCGCCTCGTCCTGCTCCTCTTCCTCTTCCTTCTCTCCCACCTCCTCCTCCACCACTGCCTCCTCCTCCTCCTCTTCTTCTTCCTTCTCCCACACCTCCTCCTCCTCCCCTTCCTCCTTCTCCTCCTTCTCCTCCTCATCCTCCTCCTCATCCTCCTCCGTGTATTTTATCATTAATACCAGCAGCCTGTGCATCTCATTCTCTAAGGATTCCACAGTTGCACACTGCTTGTCCTGCTCCTGCCCCAAGCTTTCCACTGTTGACTGCAGGTTGTCCTGCTTTTTCCCCACGCCTTCCACCATCTCCTGCAGCTTGTCCTGCTGCTTCCACAAGCCTTCCAGTGCTGCCCACACCTTGGCCTGCTCCTTCTCCACACCTCCCACCGTCACCTGCAGCTTCTCCTCCTCCTGCCTGATGCCTTCCACCATTACCTGTACCTTGTCCTGCTCCTGATCTGCCCTGTTTACTCTCACCTCCAGCTTGTCCACCTGCAGGAAGGGGAAAAGGAGTTGGCTTTAAGATAGAATGGATGTGGCCCACTTGCCTGGGTGCTCTGGAGGCTCGATGGCCCCATCCAGCCAGGGAACTTGGCCTGCACAACAGCCAGGACTACCCTGCTGAGGCACAGGCTGTTGGGAGTGCTCTTCCCCACATCAGCTGCTGCGTTAGCTTGAAGAGCAGATCGATCGCGACCCAGCACTGCTGCTGCTGCTCCCGCGGCTTGATCCCTGGCAGCGTGGACCTGAGCAGCCAGAGGGAGGCACGGGCAGACTTAGGCTCTGTGGGGCTTCTCAGGGGGTGTCTCTTGCCCCCAGAGCAGGCTTCCCCCAGGCACCCCAGCCACCCTGAAAGCCCCACGGGGTCGGAACCCCTCTGCCATCCTTTACCCCAGTTGCTGGCTGGTCTGGTCGCTGGCACTGATGTTCTCCTCTGCTCCAGCCACCCCCAGCTTTCCATGGGTGTCCTTCGGAGGTCTGGTCTGGGAACAACAGCAGTGACACAGTCAGGGCATGGCCCCCCACCTCGTCCCAGCATGGGGGCCCTTTGTCTGCCCCCTGCCCACCCCAGGCCCACAGCATCCCACAGCCGCCCCGCGG